GGCCACAAGAGTTTGCTCAGAACTTTCAACAAACTTCTGGATCCCCCTTTAACACTGAAGCTTCACAGTACGTTCTGACTTCTGACATGGTAATGGCCAAAGGAATTGAGAAAAGGTTTAACTACGTACAAACACAAGGAAAATAACTTGAGTTTTTGTTTGTTTGTTGGCTGAATTTTCCCTCTGGTTTGGGTTCAGCTATTTCTAGGAAATTAACGGTGTTGTTTGGCACTACCTGTCACAGTGGCCTACTCTAAATGCTGGATCCTCTTCAGCTCAAAGAGAGACTGAATGCTTACAAGTGATTTAATCTTCCAGACAAATCAGACAATACACCCTCATTTAGTGTAAGCAAAGTTCCTTCAGCCCAATGCAATACCTGCATATTTTATATTCAGTATGATCCTCTTTCTACAGGCTACCCAACTTCAGAAAACCTTTTCAAGGTTCTAGCTCATTTTCTGTAACACTATTTCCAGTAACTTTCTGCTTTCCAAAAGAGCTTTAGTTTCCCCAAGGTTTTCCAGTTAGGGAAAGCATCAATGCCAGGGAGCTGTCAGGTAACACCTGAAGAATCCGTACTTTGTAGTTCAATGAAAGCAAAGAGGCACCTCAAGAAATGAAATTATAGCATGCAACACCCACACATTTTAATTGCTTTGTTTCTCTAACAGCACCAAGTTTCCAGTGTTCAAAATAACTTACTTAGAACTAGCTCACATACCACCATTGAGCAGCTCAGCAGGCAGGGGTTTTGAGGCTTAACTGCTTTGAAAAGGTAAAGTAACTCTGTTTTCATAATTTGTGATCTGCTGGTAAGGAGCAGCAGACCCTTGAATTACTGGTGCTGTGGCTCTGATCTGCTCTGCTGCATGCCAGAGATCTTGCCGGAGACCAAAACAGGATCGTAGCACTAGAAATTTCTAGGGAGAGAATAAAAAACAACCAAGAAAGCATCACTATGTCATTGCACAAATATACCTACACCTCGAACACTGTGTGCATTGTTCATCCCTACAGAAGAAGAATGTAGTAGGACTTCCAGAGGTGTGGGGTAGGGTAAGAAGGATGGCCAAAGATAGAGAGGGGCACCTCTCCGAGTAACCATTAAAGGGAATTTGTAACTTTGCTCTCAAACAGAAAATGGAACATGACAGAAATTTCTAAGAGCACTTCCGTTGTCTCTGCAAAAATTTAGGGGCATCAAATGAAACAAGCAGGTGGCATGTCCAAAACTGAATGAATTATTTAAACCACAGAGATCATCAACCTAGGACATGTTGGATCATGAAAATTACATTTGTTCAAAAGCAGCTGGACTAAATCATGGGAGAAAAACAAACAAACAAACAAAACAGCAAAGGCTTCAAAACACAAAACTTCTGCATCACAAAGTCTCTGAACCATTGGAGACTGGGGCAGTATTCTGGGGTAATGACACTTAACTTCCCCGGGCTCTGTCTGAGGACAACAGCCAAGTGACTGGTTACCAGGCTGGCTGACCTTCTGCTCTGATGTCCTGCTCATCCCATTTTTATTGGGATATCCCAGCATATTTCTGCTATTCATCAGAAGTTTTTTTCTAAGCACTGGATTTACACTCACAGACTTTACAGTTTTGACAAATCAACATCCACCGGTGAAAATTCTTCTTAAAGGAAATATTCTAAGCCATGGAAACTTTAATGTTCAAGCTGTAAATTCTAGTCTTCTTGAGATATGCCTATATCAGTACGTAGAATATTTAATATTTTATGTTTCTTTCAGAGAGAGATGATAATCTCATAGCTTGAAAACTCTCAGAAATTGATTATTTAGAGCAATATAGAATTTTTCCACTATGTGGCGCCAAACAATTAAAAAGCAGTTAAAGGGAGACATGGACCTTCTCATAAACTGTAGTTTTCTTAAATAGAAAAAACCTTTATTAGTAACTAAAGTAACCCCAGATTCTTCCATTCAAAGGTACCAAAGCACAAATACTATGGGCTATTTAGATAAAATGCCTTTTTTCTGTCACAGAAAGACAAACTATAGCCTTAAAACAGCAATATTTTAAGTCATATCATAACGATAATAATTGAACAGGGATGATCTTTCTCCCTTCTCCTCCTCCACTAACATAATCCCTTTAAAGTTTTTTGTTAAGAAAGATCAAGATACTTTTAAATTAATTTGAACATCACTTGAAAATGATCTATTTATTTATATCACAGTTTTGTAATTGCAACTAGTATAAAAATATTTTTTCTATTGCAAGTCTCAAGTATATATATCATCTTTCCAAAGAATCCACACAAAAATGAATTCAAGAGAAGACACCGTATGATTTAAGATTTTGGAATCACAAAATGTTTCCTGGTATATATTTCCAATTGTAGACACACATACCAATCTGAAATACCTAAACTTAAATGGTTGCAATGCTTATTGATGTGAGAAAGGACCAGAAGAACTCTTTTTGTCGTGACAGGGTAAGGTTTTGATCCAGCATGTCCGTCATGTTTTACATATGAAGGAAAGTCTCATAAAACCAAAATTTTACATTCTAGTTGCAGGTTTGATGACAACTTGATCACTTCTGGAATGTAGCTAGTGGCATTTTTTGGATTAGCTTCCATCCTTTAGAGTAGATGTTTTACAATACAATCTTCATAATACTTTAAAACAAATGAGGTTATTGTTTAGTAAGATAACAAAGAACTTAGAATTTACTTTCTAATTAAGTCCATTACAGTAAAGAAGCCCATAACACACATCTTCACCCCACAGGGAGGCTAATACTTAGGAGTCCTCATTAGAGAGGGAAATATTTCATAATGTTTTGACTTTGGTTTACTTCTGTAATGAACCAGTTAACAGATGATCATTCCAAAGTGCAAATACCTGCAATTTGCTTCTACAATGTACTGCATATCAGGTTTTTTGCATTTTTTGCACAAGAATTTGTGCAGGTTTATTATTGTTTTCATGTAACTTCCATCAGTGAGAACAGTAAGGAGAAAGAACTCTCTTCCTGAGATTGTGCTTACGTGTATAATAGTTTTCTTTGTCTTTACCTGGAAGATTTATGGCCTTCCCTCTTGCTTTCTAATTACAAAAGAAAGTTATGTTTCGTTCTATGCATCCCAGTTGTTCCACTGGTAATTTTATTTCCATCAGTAACTGACAACAGATTCTAGCCACTTCTACATACTTCACAGCTAAGGGCAGTTGAGAGAAAATCCTGAATACCCCTATTCCTTCTTCCAGAATATTTTTTTATGCCTCTTTACATATTGATATCGAGAGCTGCATGACTGTAAAGCATTTTTATTACTTGAGGGCAGAGAAAATGTCAATGCACAAAACAAACTGAAAGAAACACTCATTGAGTGAGCAGGCTTTGCTCTCCCTCTTGCGGTCCAAGCATGTCATTCCCATAGCCTCCGCTAGTTCTGTGCACTCTGGATTCAAAAGCTTTCTGCACACTTGGGGGTACCCAAAGAGAGCGTGTCACTATTGAAGTTTACAATATGGTCAAAGTTTTCGTTAAAGGCCAGTGCTAAAGCATTTGGTATACTGTTTGTTGGGAACTAAATGTTGATCTTGATTCTTTTAGCTACATCTTGTAATCTAAAAATTTTTTCATTTAATTTAAATGTTTTTAATGTAGCTTGAACAGTCTAGACAGAAGGTATACGGTAGAAAACAATGCACTTCTTGCTATACCACCAATCATGTTTTTAATATATTATTTCAGCGACCAGTGTTAAAAAAATACATGAGGCACTTAGGAAAGTGCCAGCAAATGAAGCAGTTTCGGGAAAGTTGTTGGGATACTTTAAGGTCACTGCAAGTGTGTGGAAAATTGGAGGCTGTACTGAACTGAATAGGAAAAAATGAAATTCTGTGTATAATAACCAGATGGGGAATATTTGAGCTTTTAAGACCTTTTTTTTTTTTTTCCAAACTGAAAAACTTGCACTTCCAATGACTCACAGATGAATGTGAAAAAGCAGTTTAGTCTGCACACCTACATTAGAAATAGCCACCAGAGGAAGGGTGAGGTGTGGTTTGTTTATGCACCAGAAGAGTCTGTAAAACATTTTGCCTCCCTAAGTAACAACCCAAACAAAATACAATCCCTAAATCTCAATCCAAATCAATGTGTGTACGAGGAAGATTTCTGTACATGCTGGACAAGCAACATACTAATTAATTTTTCCAAATACTTTTTAATACTTTAGGCAGTCTTTTAAAAAACACACAGAAGACTGGTTACCTGAGATACACTCTCAGCTCTTTTCAACCGTAGGGGACCAACAGCGGGATGACAGCACGACCCACCAGCACACGCACCTGCTGCTTCACCCCAGCTGGAACTAAAACACAAAGTGTGTTGTTATTTATAGGACAGGACAGCTCTGCGAGACCCACTCAGCCCACAATATCCCCAGCACTGCCCCGGGGGCTGCACGGTTCCAACTCTCCGGTTTGTACTTGACAAATGACCTTCCACAAGATGTGGAATTTAAATTGCGGTAAGCGCCGACGTTGGAGCTGAGGAACGGCAAGGCAAGCGGATGCTTCTTCCTAAGATCGTCTCCGAAATTAAAAGGAAAAATTCCTAATTCACAAAGGAACTTAAAAAACTGGTACGGGGAAGGACTACAGGCAGGCCGTCCCTTCCTGGGACCCCTCTGCCAGCCTTCCCCTCGCAGCGCTGGCTCCAGCCAGCCTCCCTCCGCCCTCCGTCCGGGCACACGCGGGGCAGGCGGCGGCCCCGGGAGCGCGTCCCGCCGGCAGGACAACGCGGCCGGACCACCCCGCTCCGCTTCCCGGGGAGGGCCCCCAACTCCGAACCTCCCGCCTGCTCCCGGGGCGGCCGAGCCTCGCAAGCCCCGCCCGGGCGCCCCGCCGGGGGCGGCCCCGCTGCTCAGTGGCCGCCTCGGCCGTCGCTCAGGCGGCCGCGCCGCTCGCCGCGGGGATGGCGGGGCGGGCGCCGAGGGGCGCGGGCAGCGCCCACAGCCCGGACGGTGCCCGGCGCGGCGAGCCACGGCCGGCCAGGTTTGACCTCCCTTTCGCTGCCCCCTTCCCTCCCTTCGCGAGCCCGGCTCTTTCCCGGCCGGGTGTCGCTCCCCGGCGGCGGGGGCGCGGCGGCACAGGCGACGCGGTGCCCCCCGGGTGACACCGTCGGGTGGCTTCGGGGGATGCTGTGTCAGGTCATCGCGGTGTGTCGGGTCACGGCAGGACCACGGGGTGCCGCGGGCGGTGTCCCCGCGGCGGGGACTGGCGGGCTTGAGGGCGATGTAGGTCCCGTGGGTTCCAGGCTCTTCTCGTCCAGTTGGCAGTGCCGCTGCCGCATCCCTGCTGCCGTCCCAAAAATAGAAGAGCAGGAAGAACACAACTCCTAAACAAACGACCAAAATGAAGATACTTTTGAAATACCTACACTGGCAGATTTCGGAATGTGACATAAAAATTAAACATGGGTACTTAGTGTGATGTGACACTGCGATCTTAAAAATTGCTGTCATCAGGCAAAGGACATAGAACGATCTTGTGTGCTTTACTGTTGTTTGCTGCACACATTTGACACTGGTCAAATGCAGATGCAGATGAACCCTCTGTTGTGCCATTTCCCTGGGAAGCTGAGCTGGCAGTAATGAGCTGGGAGCAGGCAGCCTGGCCCCTGAAATCAGGGGGGGCTTGCAGAGGTCTGTGCCTGGGACTGGAGTGGGAGGCCCTGGCTGAATGTATTGTTTCACAACAAACTTCTCAATATATTGGAACCAAACTTCTCAATATCTAGGAAACAGTAGGATGAGATTTCATAAATGAGATTTTGAAGGAAGTTTTAAACAGTTTAGGCTACAGTTTGTCTGAACACAGAATTATGCAAAATGAGTCAAATGGAAAATAAAGTTACCAGTGTTTGGAGGTGAGTAAGGGCCCTGGCCAGCAACAAACCTGAGAATGACTTCCTTGATTCCTGAACAGGTCCACTTTGTGTCTCATCATTTCCCTTCTCCAGTCCAACCTTTATGGCTCCAGAAAAATTTTTAAGTGTCAATGAAAAGGTGGAAGAAAGGGCCCTGAAATTCGAGAGGTATAGTCCAAATGGATTTGGGCTGGTGAACATTTTGGGATGGTGAAGTATATATTTGCACTATATACTGAGCAAACCCACACCTGCCGAAGCAGAACTTACCAAGCTTTCTCCAGCACAGAAAGGACATCCAGAACATATGGACAAAATGTGAAGCATTTAGTTAACTAAACACTCAGTTTTGTTCAAAACTGAGGAAAACACTTGACAGTATGATAAGGAATATGCAAATTTTTTAACATGCTTCAAAAAGGTAGAACACTGTTGCCTCCTTCCCCCTGAAATATGTTTTGATAATTTCCAAGCAGACAGCAAAGGAAAGGAAATTATATCAATACCTTTGGGGAGAATGTGACATTCTGACTTCTTGAAGCCTAGAAAGCGGTTTATAAACTTAAAAAATGAAAATGACGAATTTAATCTTTCCAGACTTGTCAAACTTGTCTCAATTAATTTTTGATGACATAATTAGAACTTAAGGCTTTAATGTGCGCTTTTTTAGTTTACTTTTCAAAAGATTTAATTTTTAAAGACTCAGGGGATACAGAGGGCTTTGCGGTGGGAACTGGAGCAGGAAGAAGGGGCGGACTCTGAGTAGGTTTGAGTGCTGATTCAGAGTACTCTACTAAGCCAAGAGAGATGAACTCATTTTTTTCCTCCCTTGGGGAATCAGACAAGAAACAGGAAGTCATTGATTCTAAGTAAGATCATTCACTCTGCAATTGTAAACAGTGTATTATGTGCCTGTAAATATTTTCAGAACCCATTGGCTTGTTGGAAAATGCAAAGTAAATTATTACGATCTCTAGCAAATAACCCACCATAAAAAAGGTTATTTTCAATCTTTTTATCTGTAATGTTTATACAGTGGAATATTAATTAGCTTGGACATTGAGAAACTACTTGGCTGGACACACTGTTCACTGCCAGAAATCCATCTACTCAAATGCTTTGTCTGTTGAAAGACAAACATTTTAACTACACCCTCTAATATTGTGCCCTACCGAAAGCAAAAATTCTTTCATTACTTGATCCGTTTGGGTTTTCACTGCCACAAACACTGAAATATCCCACTGTTAACCAGATGTTGGCTGCGTCCCTTTTTGTCTCATGTAGCTGAATAGACAATCTATCTAATAGTAGACTGCCACTCCTCTTTACTTAGGAGAACAGAGTCCAGGCTGTCTGTCCAGATCAACCTACAGCTGAAACTACTTCTTCCCTCTGTAAAGTAGGAGAAGCTGCTGCTTGGAAGTGCCACCTTTTCCCTTAGGACGGGGGGACTCTGCATAAGGAGAGAAGAGCATGGATTAGGGAAGGGACAATGGTGAGCAACTTGCTTCCCTGACAGTCCAAGGAATTTTCTGCCAAGCTTAAAAGATGGGGGGGAATGGTAAAAGACACAATAAGTGTCTTGGTCACCTCGAAGGATAGCAGTTGAAATGCTTACGTACTTAATTTTTAGAACTCAGGTGTTGTAGGATCGACTCAGGAAGCTATCTTATTAACATGCTTAAATCCTAGTGATTCTAGGGGGATTCCTGAGTGGGAGATTCCTGAATAGGTTTTAACCTCTGGCTTAGCAGCTTGAATCATAGTCTGCCGGACCAAGAGGAAGAAAGAGCCAAGAATGGAGCACTTATCTTCAGACAAGTGGTTGTGGTGAAAAACTGCCAAATTTTATTCAGTTTTCCTTTCCTAATTTTTTTTTCTAACTTAAGATATGGAATGAAAAAAACAAGGAAATTAGGATATGTGACAAGGAAGAAAATTTTGAGCCAGTTTTTCACCTGTTGAGCTATGATGAACTTGAGAGTAATGCAAGACTTGGGCAATTTAGAGGAAAACTAGAAAATATTACTGTAGGAAAGTGAAGAACTTTTTGAAATCCTGCTCATGACTTTGATCTGTCTTGTGATGCTTTGCCTTTACTTTTTTTCTTCCTGTTGTCAGAAGCAGTGGAAAAGATAAATGCATAGGTCCAGCTCCAGCTGAGGGGTTTCAACTGGGGCTACCTCCTCCAACACTGGGAGGAAGGGAAGTGCTTAAACCTAGGCTTCTGAAGTTCTGGAGTAGTCATGGGGAGGGGGGCTCTCCAATGTGTTAATTAATCCATGCTAACTGTGTCAAGACTTGCAGTATGGAGATTTGTATTATGCATGATTTTCCTGTGTCAGCCTCCTTCATCACACTGAAAATGGTGGCTACTTGCCTTTCCTTGTGAGGATCTCACTTTTCATGGCATAGGTGACAAACATGCAGTATAACCTTATGACTTGTAGTTTTTTCTTTGTTGTTATCTTCCATCTTCCACTGAATGGAGTTTTTATATCTGTTTGTTATTTCTGAGATAAAATGGATACTTAGGAGCTATTCAGGCTTCGTTTTCAAAGCCACACCTAAGTGTTTAAAGCCCTGCAAAGGCCAGGGCCTTTGCTTAGCAAGGGAACTTCTTAGACTGAATGGTTACATTCAGCCTTCCACTTACTCTTTATTAAACTGTCTACAAACACTTGGAACACAACAGAGCCCAGTCCTTCTGCTTGTACACAGATGATTTTCTTGGCTTCTCAGACTCAAACCATGATGAGCCAGCTCTCATCCTGAATAATTTTTCCAGTACTGCTTGTCCAGAAAGGCATTGAGTATAATTTCCAGAAGACATGAGCTGTTAAATGGGGATAAAAGCACAGATTTGAAACCAAAACATGTATGAACCAGAACGTCCTGAGATCTGCAACAGCTAATGCAAAGGGATTGTTTTTCATGTGTGAGGTCCATTAGGAACCATTTGCTCACCTGCCTTTGCATTTGGAACCAGAAACTCCCCTTTGCATCTCATTAAGGGTATTAAATTTTAAACACAATTTGATTAGACATAAGAATTTTAAAACACTTCTAAAAGAGTCATCTGCCAAACATTTAACTTGAATAAAACCAAATGTTCTACTAACATACAGGTAGTTACACCTATGTAAGGCATTTTCTAAGCAAAAGCTCAGTTCTCTACAAGCCTCTCCTGTGTAAGAAAGAATATATACAGTAACTGAAGATTAAGATCTGTGAAGTGTCACTGCTTATCAAGGAAAACTAATTGCAGCCCCAAAATTTTAGGAGAAATTAAAATGTGATAAAACTAAATATTAGCAATACAGATTTCAGAATTTGATAGTTATGATTAGGGCTTTTGTAAACTAGTGTATTTTTACTAAGTTTTATTAAACTGTACATGTATAAAATTTGGGGACATTCTTAAGATTTATATAAAATAGATTAGTATGTACAGTAAAAAAGTCAGACATTAAATACATACTCAATTTGATATGGAGATTTTTTCCCTTTTTTTTCCAGCATAAATATGGCTGAACTTTCAGAGACAGAAGGTACTGTAAACTGGAAGGAAAGATGTTTAACTTTAGAGTCACAGTTAATGAAATTTCGTCTCCAAGCAAGCAAGATCAGAGAATTGCTAGCGGAAAAGGTAGGTCTCATCATATGAATTTTAATGCTGTATAAATTATTTTATAATGGGGGCTGATCACGTCATGGTTTGAGATTACAAGTACTGAGGTTTTTTCAGAAAGGGAAAAATAGCATTTTAAAACAAAATATATGGACAACAGGTATGTTTTAATGCTGTAAAAGAATTTCACACATCAGAATTGCCAGAAAAAAATGTTCATTTTCAAATAAGAGTGCACTGGCAACTCTCCCGCAGAAAAAAAAAATGTATTCAGTAATCACTTTTACAAGTGATCACTTTTACTTTTTGAAATTAGTATTTAACACATTTATTAAATATTTAAGATGTGATAAGACACAGAAATCATTGCAGAGAAAATCCAGAAGTATTATTTCCCCCAGTATTCCTGACTGAATCGTGTAATTTACCAGATTTTATTTTCCTATAATAAGACACCTCCAACTATGGCTCATCACCTGAGTCTGGGGACCCAGGAAGTTGAAAAGTATTGTATCATTTAATTTGAAGAATACTGTTTAAATATATTCTTTATTGCTATTAGAAAGCAGTGTAGGTAGAAACTCTAAATTGTTTACCTAATCTTGCAATTTTTCTGTATGGCAAACCCTCATTGAGGAGGTATTGCAGAATATTTGGTTTTGAAAGAACAATAAGCTGTTCAAAAGCCATCCTTTAAAATTTCATTTAAGAATAAAAAAAAATATAAAAGGAAAGCTACTTGTGTCTTTCATTCCAGTTTGCAAGGCTCACAGATAAGTTAATGAGTTACTATCATCGGTCTTGGAGGAGAACATCCATCAAAGAGTACAACAGTGTCTTCTGTAACACTCCACAAGATTATTGGGTGCTTACACAGTTGGAACTGTTAGATCATACATATCTGTTCTGTGTCTTTACCCCATTTGGACCACTGCATTTTTGGATTCTGGATGGAAGTCAAGTGGCTAAACAGTGGACATGACTTTTCTGGGAACCTTCCAGCAGCCGTAACTACCATGTTTTATGTGGCAGCTGCTGGTGATTATAGTTTTGGGAACCAAAAAGTTAAGATTCATGAACAGCCCTTCACAATACAATCTGAGTTTAAAGAAAATATTTTAGAAATTTTAATGCTTTCTATTTGACTTTTCACTTTGTTCCTTTACAGTTTGCATTTACAGGCTGTTAACTGCTAGAAATATTCCCTTAAATTAACAGAAATATATGCATAATCATGTAATTTCAAATATTGGCATTAAAAACCCCCGAACAAACAGAATAAGGGGGATAAAATCACAAATCTTCAGCACTGTGCCTGAAACAAAGCACTCCAAGGCAAATTACACTCTCACATCTGTGATAAACATGACTCCAGAATAGTTTAAAAAATCTTAAGCACTTGTCGTGTTATTGCCCTCTTGTTTTAATTTGTCTTATCTTTCTGAGAAATTTTAGAAAAAGTGAAGTGTTTACAAGAATTACAAATGGGAGAAACATTTTCTGGTGAAGACCACAGGTCCACTAAGTATTCAGTTGGGATAATTTGATATATTGCTCTCCTGAGCAGAGCATTAGCAGACTTCCTGAAAAATAATCCTTCTCCTTACTTTGTCACTTTGACTTTTTAGTATGAATCTTTCAGTCATCAGCTGGAGTTCAGCTGGGATATGCATTCAAGACTGGTCAGAGCTCAACAAAATGAGATGATATTCATCTGCAAGTTTAGCAGTCTTGAAAATTCAAAACCAGCCATGTTCAAAAGGGAACTAAAGTGTTTGTGTGTATTCGGGCGTTGGTTTTATTTGCCAATAATCCAGTGTTTGTTTTTTTTCCACATATTTAGTTTTTGGAATTATACAAACAATTCTCAGTATTTGTTAAAGGAAAGATAGACTCACGGTAGTTTGAAATTAAACTGCATGGAATTGTTTCTCACAAATATATCTGAGAAACAGCAAAGTGAATAATGAAGACCTGATTGGCCAGTACTTGACGATCATCCTGATACTAATGACGAAGAATAATACAGCTGATGTCAGCCTTTATAGGTACTTTCTAGTACCTATTTGTTACCTGTTACAGAATGAGACAAATTGGCAAAGCACATAAATAATTCTCACTCTTACTTTGATTAGCACAGGCCTTTATTTGTGGTTTTGTTTACAATCATCTCTATGCTATGAAATGTGTACTAAAACATTGAACAATAGCACCAAACAGTGTTCCGCTTCAAAATAGCAACAGAAATCACAGTACTGTGGCGTGACAGACATAAAACCCTGTGGGTATTATACTATGTAATTGTTGTAGAAAACAGTAAGAATGATATTGTGACAAAAACGGGTAGTCTCTACAGGAAGATAAGAGAAATGAATTGATGGTAATTCTCTAGCCTTTCTCTGCATGTGTTTGAGAGGTATCTCTTCAAGACAATGCATCAGGAAAAGGAGTTTACATCCTGTTACACTATGTGCAGGGCTTTTCAGAAACTGCCATTGAGTTTTTCCCCTTATATTTGTTGTATAACTTAGTCTAAAACCAGATTTAAATAAGGGATTGCTTGAATCTATCCATTTCCAATATTTTTATCTGTGACCTGTGTGCTTCTGTAAATGTATTCAGGCTGTGGATTAATTGAAGTACTTTTCTGACATGCTAGAAATTAAGTACCTTTGCATAGTTATCTTATTTAATATTGCCCCTGCAAATAAATGAACAGTCAATATGAAAAGTCTTGAGTATATTATTCCAGTAGATGTGTTCTAATTTAGAAAAACAAACTATTTACCTTGTTTTGTAAGTTTAGCGAGTAGTCATCCTTGAACCTTGGTGGTTGAGGAGGTTGAGAAATTTGCATTGTAAATGTGTTTCTGCAGTCTAGCAGAACTTAAATTTTTTAGTGAACTCAGGGAGAAGAGAGAGAAGCAACAGAATACACAGTGTTTTGAGAAAACTTAAATCCATTCGCTGTTGTTTATTTGTTTGAGTTTTTAATATTTTTTTCATTTTGCCAAGTAAAGAGTCTATATTTATAAATCTAATGTGCAAAGAAAGAGACTTTGTTGGAGTTTTAAGCAGAAGCTGCTGCTGTAAGTGGGAGAGGTCTTTACAGGAATTTAAGGAATGATGTAGAAAGTATCCCAGTATGCCAAATTTAGGATGGCTGTGGAACTGAGTTTTAAGCAGAAACCTTTATTTTAATGCAGCTTGAGTCTTACGTATATGAAGAGTTTACTAAAAAAACCACTTTGTTGAATAAAAGATTACAGTGTTATACTGGAAGTTAAGATTCCAGCTGGCATTTCAAGTCATAGGAAAAGTTAGTCACCTTCATTCTTTTCATAGTAAGTACATTTTTCACCTAAAATATGTGTGCAACATCAGGTGTAAAGTTAATGTTCTTCCTGCTGCTAAAAAATTCTTTTAGTAGGAGAACTACATCTCTGTCTTAAATTCCCACTTGGGCAGCCTTCACTGAATTTCTTTTTCATGAGACCCTGTAAGGACGGAATATGGCACTAACCCAAATGTTGCATTATGGGCTGTCCAGTAATACTCAACATTCACATGAACATCTCCCAAGTTTGTTTCCTTCAGTGCTGAGGGTCAATATGTTATGCTTTAAGTTATTTTCATATGTATATTGATTTGTTTGCTTTTAACCTTCCATTTGGATATTCTCTGTATACATGCTCAGCTGGCAACCAAGTGTGTAGACGACAAATGCCATAATATTTATACTTTCTGTGCAGTTTATGAAAATGGAATGATAACCAACTTTTAGGCCAAATACTATTTCCTACATATTCCAAAGCATAACACATTTCAGACTTTGTCTTACAAACCAACAGCTAAATCCAAGTCCCATTGTATTTTTATTCATTTCGCAGTCCTATTTATGGTATGTCATTTGACATTTGAAAATTAAGCAGATGCAGTATGTTTTGTTATCTCTGGCATGACAATTTCATGTTTAATGTTTTCAGAGGCAAAGTCTATAACACATTTGACTTAGGCAGTGATTGCCAATATGAAAATTGTAAAAAAAGCACAATGAGTATTTCCATTCAAAGGATTATGAAAGGTAAACTAAAAGGGAGTAAAGTACCATTGAACCAAAATTATTCAAATGAAGGTTATTTTTCAGTATTTCATTCCTCTTAAAAGACTTCTTGTCATGGAAAATACATTCAGATGCAATGAAGAAGATACAGGAGAAAGCAACAAGAGTTAAAGAGAATAAAAATTTCTATGGCTAGAGTTTTAGGTCTGTTTACACCTTTTTAATACCTTCACATTTTTCTTATAGTTTCATTTTTATGCCTTGTCTATTATTAAGTTTTTCTATTATACTGTTTTATAACAGTAGAGGGTTTTTTTGTTGTTGTTTTTGTACATCTTAAAACTACATTCTTTCTAAGGAGGCCGAAGATGAAAAAAAAAAAAAAGAACTCAGGAAGCAATAAATTAGCTGCTCTTCTAGAGGCCTGGCTGGGTAATGGCATGAAGAGCACAGCTCTTGCTGTGAGGTCAGAGGATTAATATCTTCCCTTGGGTGGTACAGAGACAAGGTCATAAGTTCTATTCCAGCCCACCTGAGATGGGGAAGTTTGTAGAAGTCGTGGAAGCTGTGATAGTGGGCAGCCACCTGTGCAGATTCTTAGCCAATCTAATATTTGTTTAGCATTCCATTTTTAGGAGCTACAAGATGTTTTTTCTCCATTTTTCATGGTGAAAACTCTTTTTGCTCTTAGAAATTACACATTTAATTTTCATTCCCTTGGCGAGTATTTTCAGGCTTTAAATATCTGTTGTCTTCAAACTGCAATATGCAGCCTTACGTATATTTCAGGAATCTCTTGCTCCTTCAACATCTGTTTCCTATACCCTTTAGTTTCATTAATAAATTCCATTTCAGTCAAGTTTTCGATTTGTAAAATGTTGGCAGTGAGTGGTACCTTTAATTCTTAAGCAATCCTCTCAGGCAGTGGCATGAAAACAGGCCCCCTGTTTCAGAT